GGGGCTAGTGCAGCTGGTGACTTTAAGTGGAAGCCAATGCTCATTTACCATTCCACAAATCCTAGAACCCCTAAGAATTTTGCTAAATCCACTTTGCCTGTGCTCTATAAGTGGAAAAACAGGGCCCGGATGACAGCACATCTGTTGACAACATGATTTACTGAATATTTAAACCCACTGTTGAGACTTACTGCTAAGAAAAAAAGATGGCCTTGCAAAATATTACTGCTCATTGACAATGTACCCAGTCACTCATGAGTTCTGATGGAGATATACAATAAAATTAATGTTGCTTTCATGCCTGCTAATACAACATTTATTTTGCAGCCCCATGGTCAAGGAGTGATTTCAACTTTTAAGTCTTATTATTTCAGAAATACATTTTGTAAGGTAATAGCTGCCAAAAATAGTGATCCCTTTGATAGATCTGAGCAAAGTCCATTGAAAACCTTCTGGAAAGGATTCATCATTCTAGATGCCTTTAAGAATATTCATGATTTGTGGGAAGAGGTAAAAATATCAACATTTATAGGAATTTGGAAGAAGTTGATTCCAACCCTCATGGATGACTTTGAAGGGTTCAAGACTTCAGTGGAGGAGGTAACTGCAGATGTGATGGAGACAGCACGAGAACTAGAATTATAAGTGGAGCCTAAAGATGTTACTGAATTGCTGCAATTTCATGATAAAACTTCAACGGATGGGGAATTGCTTCTTATGGATAAGCAATGAAAGCGGTTTCTCAATTTGGAATATACACCTGGTGAAGATGCTGTGAACATTGTTGGAATGACAACAGAAGATTTAGAATATTACATAAACTTAGTTGATAAAGCAGCAGCAAGGTTTGAGAGGACTGACTCCAATTTTGAAAAGTTCTGCTGTGGGCAAAATGCTATCAAATAACATTGCGTCCTACAGAGAAATCATTCATGAAAGGAAGCATCCATCCATGCAGCGGACTTCATTGTCTTATTTTAAGGAATTGCCACAGCCACCTCAGCCTTCAGCAACCACCACCCTGATCAGCCAGCAGCCATCAACATTGAGGCAAGACCCTCCACCAGCAAAAGGAGTATGACTCTCTGAAGGCTCAGATGATGGTTAGCATTTTTTTTAGCAATATTTTTTTTTTAAAGATTTTTATTGGAGAATTGGGGGTATGGGAACAGTGCTGGGGAATTGGGGGAAGGGGAACAGACAAGTTGCTGTCGTTTTGTTCTTCAGTCTAGTTGTGGAGGACGTTGCTTCACTGG